GCGCAGAAAAGTTGCGTCATTTTAACAACCACGCCCCTCCACCGCGTCTCCGCACGGCCCATGATTTCCGCAACGCGCACCTCGGAAAATTTCTAACCACGCGGACGGTCGGACGTGGAAAAACATGGCGGACCGGCACGGCAGAGGTTGGTAAATACAGACATTTGTATGATTCAGCTCTCAGAGATCACCGTGATCAACATGTTGTTAATAATTCTTGGAGAGAAATAGCTCGCACTGTCGGAAAAGACGAGGATGCTGTTAAAAATGCTGGAATGCCATGTTGTAAACAGTGATTTCTACTTCTACTATGGTGTAGTGTTTGATGCATGCCGTAGAGCTCCATGCTGCCCCCTACAGTTTGGGAGAATATTGGCTCACCGCAGAGACGAGCCGCACGAACCATAAAAGCTGCGAGTTGTGAAGCGCGTTCCATCCGCGAGCCGCATCACCGCGCGGAAAGTGAATGCGTCAAGCATAAACCAAGCTTAACTGTGCGCCTGCGTAGTTTGTCTCCAGCAATAGAGAGCCTAAATCACGCCCATCTACTTCTGGACCACGGGTCCCCAGAAGAACGAAAAAATGAATGCAAGTCAACGGGGCTAAAACGCTGTTTTATAATTCTGCTCGTTTTTTGCCGTGGATTTCACACATGATGTTTGTGAATTTTAAAGACACATTTTCATACCAAGAAAATGCTTGTTTTTGAACTAAGGGAAACGTTATTTTAGGTTTTGTGTGAAAACAAAGCCAGGACTACAAATTTGCATCACCAAAGTGACATCATCGAACCAGACACAGAGAAAACTGAGAAAATGGCCGTAGGTTCAGCAAACTTCAAATCCTTCTTTCAGGAAGAAAGAACCACAATAAATCTGGCCATGTGGTGAGTAGCAGCTAGGCTAGGGGAGAGGAGATTATGTGGTGACGTCACATATGCAACATACCGTAAATCCTCTAATACAGGCCGGCATTTAATTAAAGGCCGGGTCTCCAATTTTGGCCGGTGTCGGAGTCAGTGGAGGTAAATAATGGCCGGTCTGTTATTGTGGCCGGGTGGAATGTGGTAACAAGCAAGTATGAGCATCCCAGCGGCAGGGTTATAGTTCCCAAATCAACCAGCAGGAGGCAGTAGAGGTTCACGCAGACCTTTATTAGGCTTTTTCTTCAACACTTAGTAACGCTACAGACACGATCCTCTATCACGCTCCTACCACACAGAGTCACGGTGTCAGTTAACCATGCTAATTCAACCCGCTCCACAGAACACACATCACCTTCCCTGTGGCTTACATAACACTCACACAACACGCTAATCAACACATAGGAACTAGCAGAACGATAGGAAACACATATAACACAATACCCAGAATGCACCTGGCTTACAACCCCAGTCAGGTCATTACACTATCAAGTTCAAAGAGAACGTGCTGATTATGCTGCAGAACACTCTGGAGAGCAGCAGTAGGGGTTGTATGAACTAGTCAACTTCACTATAGTGACTTTTTATGCCTGTCGTCGACTAGTCGCTGTCACGTGATAATGACCAGCAAGATGCAGTCCTCGGAAACAACAGCAGCCTGCTGTCAGCAGGTGACAAGCTCCTGCGCTCGGGGTGGGGGTGGGGGTGGGGGTGGGGGTGGGGGGGGGCAACGCGCTGTGCCAGACCGTAGGTACTGACACGCGATCGTTCATGTCGGTTCATTTCCTTTAATGTTTTCTGTCTTTTATTTGCGCCTGATGCGTTTCGCTGCTGTGGAGCGGGGCACATCACCTTGTCCTCCGATGCACAGATCACTGATGCGGCCGGCAAGCAGCGAGCACTCCGCTGTTTTAGTGGTCGGTAGATCTTTTAGAACTGCAGTTCAAAGGTAACTCATGAGGTGAATATATATGAACCCAGGTAGCAGTTTCTCTTTAGGATTGAGAGGAGATGCAGGAAGATAATAAACAGGCAGGACAGAAAAATAGTCAAATAAAAACAAGTTAGTTTTTGTACCTGCTGGTTGCAACAAACAGACACCATTGAAGGTCATCAGAAGTGAGGAACAGAAAATGAAATAATTATTTTAATGTTTAGAGCAGCAGGAACTCCGAGAGGCTGCAGGCGCATCAGTGAGTTTGCGGCCGCTGCGCAGGGGGAGGGGGGAGAGGGCTGAAGCAGGGGGAGGGGGCTAAAGCAGGGGGAGGGGGGAGATGGCTGAAGCAGGGGGAGGGGGGAGAGGGCTGAAGCAGGGGGAGGGGGGAGATGGCTGAAGCAGGGGGAGGGGGAGAGGGCTGAAGCAGGGGGAGGGGGGAGAGGGCTGAAGCAGGGGGAGGGGGGAGAGGGCTGAAGCAGGGGGAGGGGGGAGAGGGCTGAAGCAGGGGGAGGGGGGAGAGGGCTGAAGCAGGGGGAGGGGGGAGATGGCTGAAGCAGGGGGAGGGGGGAGAGGGCTGAAGCAGGGGGAGGGGGGAGAGGGCTGAAGCAGGGGGAGGGGGGAGATGGCTGAAGCAGGGGGAGGGGGAGAGGGCTGAAGCAGGGGGAGGGGGGAGATGGCTGAAGCAGGGGGAGGGGGAGAGGGCTGAAGCAGGGGGAGGGGGGAGATGGCTGAAGCAGGGGGAGGGGGAGAGGGCTGAAGCAGGGGGAGGGGGGAGAGGGCTGAAGCAGGGGGAGGGGGGAGAGGGCTGAAGCAAGGGGAGGGGGGAGAGGGCTGAAGCAGGGGGAGGGGGGAGAGGGCTGAAGCAGGGGGAAGGGGGAGAGGGCTGAAGCAGGGGGACGGGGGAGATGGCTGAAGCAGGGGGAGGGGGGAGATGGCTGAAGCAGGGGGAAGGGGGAGAGGGCTGAAGCAGGGGGAGGGGGGAGAGGGCTGAAGCAGGGGGAAGGGGGGAGAGGGCTGAAGCAGGGGGAGGGGGGAGAGGGCTGAAGCAGGGGGAAGGGGGAGAGGGCTGAAGCAGGGGGACGGGGGAGATGGCTGAAGCAGGGGGAGTGGGGAGAGGGCTGAAGCAGGGGGAAGGGGGAGATGGCTGAAGCAGGGGGAGGGGGGAGAGGGCTGAAGCAGGGGGAGGGGGAGAGGGCTGAAGCGGGGAGAGGGGAGAGGGCTGAAGCAGGGGGAGGGGGGGAGAGGGCTGAAGCAGGGGGAGGGGGGGAGAGGGCTGAAGCAGGGGGAGGGGGGAGATGGCTGAAGCAGGGGGAGGGGGAGAGGGCTGAAGCGGGGAGAGGGGAGAGGGCTGAAGCAGGGGGAGGGGGGGAGAGGGCTGAAGCAAGGGGAAGGGGGAGATGGCTGAAGCAGGGGGAGGGGGGAGAGGGCTGAAGCAGGGGGAGGGGGAGAGGGCTGAAGCGGGGAGAGGGGAGAGGGCTGAAGCAGGGGGAGGGGGGGAGAGGGCTGAAGCAGGGGGAGGGGGGGAGAGGGCTGAAGCAGGGGGAGGGGGGAGATGGCTGAAGCAGGGGGAGGGGGGAGATGGCTGAAGCAGGGGGAGGGGGGAGAGGGCTGAAGCAGGGGGAGGGGGGAGATGGCTGAAGCAGAAACTACCGTTGTTAAAAGAAATGTGTTTAACTTTGAAAATGTGGGCGCAATTTTAATTGTCAAAAACTCCAGCGAACCATTAGTTCATTTTGCTCAAATAGAAATAGAGGCCTGCCTCTAATACTGGCCCTCCTTCCAATAAAGGCCTGGAGCTTGAGTCAAATACAGGCCCGGGCCTGTATTAGAGGATTTACGGTACCAATGTCTTGTTTGTAATCATGCCAATTACGGACTTTAACAAGCTAATAAATTCTCAAAGTACGTGACTGGCGTGGTCGAAAACACCCATAATTACTCTTCCCTTACATTTAAGTACAGCATATGTGTGATCCAGGGCATGGACGTAATTTTGGGGGGGGACAGGGGGGACATGTCCCCCACACTTTTTCCAAAGTCAAGTTTTGACCCCTGCACTTTTTTACCATCCAAAAACAATATTACGCTATATGAAATTGACACTGGTTGAGCTCTAGGACCAAGCAGAAAACAACTGTTTGTGTCGAAGCCTGTTTCCTATTAGAGCATACTGTAAAGATACCCCCCACCCCGTGTCCCCCCCTTTTCCAAAGTGAAAATTACGTCCATGATCCAGGGCGTAAGGCAAAGCGGATTAGCAAACAGCGTTTTTAGTCCCGTTGACTTGCATTCATGTTTTCATTCTTCCGGGGACCCGTGAGCCGACCGGAAAGGGAGGAGACTTAGACTTCCTGTAGGGCTTGTGATTGTCATCACCGACGAGGCGAGTCCTTACTTGTGGCTTAAATGAATCTATTATTAATTTGATTGGTTATATTACACATTACGGTGTTGTTTAACTCTGGATGCCACAAACAGCAACTTTAAAAGCTTTCCATGTGCTGGTAAATTATTTAATTAATTATTTTAGACTTTCTTTTCATTAAAAAACTATAAACGTGACTCAGTTCTGAGAGATTTTATTGAAATGAAACTGCTTTAATGCAACTGCACAAACAGCGGTGTCCCTGTGGGGTCTGCAGGTTTAAAGGGTCAGCAGGAGCTGCAGCAGCAGCAGAGACAGCCCTGCTGCAGCTCTCCGGTGTTTACACTCCAGCCAGACACAAGTTTACAGCCACAGCTGCGGCCGGGGGACACTCCCTACACAAACCCAGCTCTGTCTCCTCACACACACGAAAAACACGATCACAGATGCGCTGCTTGCGCCCAAACCCCCTAAAGCTCCTCTCAGTGCACGACTCAGCCTGGGTGACTTAATCCTGCACAACATCTGGCAACGCTTCACGCAACAGTCCAACGCGTGGAGTCACAAAAGCCTCCGCCTGAGTTTAGGTTCTCAGAACACCAGCGCAGAAGTTGCGCTTCATCCAGATTCTAGAACACGCTCCAAACCGGCGTTGCGCAACTTTTATGTCCGATAATAACAACAATAATAACAATAGCGAAGGTAACAACAGCCTAGTGCCTAGAGACAGTAACCCAGACAACAGAAGAGAGTTTGAACAGAAACACGCAAACAACCTGTCGGGATCTCTCTCTCCTCCGGTTTCCTGGTCCGGTTAGGACCGGTTGGTTCAGTCTACGACAGGGGTGGGCAATTATTTTTTCCATGGGGCCACATGAGAAATAGAAAATATTGTGGAGGGCCGCAGGCCAAAAGGCTGAAGTCAATTATGCATAATATTAATGGTATTTCTTTATAAAAAGCAGTAAATACCATTGTTTCTTCAAGCTGGTAAGAGTAGACTATATGTTATAAATGAGCAAAAAGGAAAAAGTGAGGTTGTCTTACAAAAATGTGATTTATTCAAATTTCCCAAGGCAATGGTAAACAAAGTGTGCACATTTGGTTTTTGTTAAACATTTGTGACTTATATTAGTTAACAGTTTCAGTCACATTCACTCCAAAACACATTCTGAGTTTCAAATATTGTTGGAAAGAGGTTCTTAGCATTCTACAGACACGCAGTATTGTCTGTAAAATAAAATCACTGAACTGTGATCTTGAGAAAGAGGTTTAAAAAAAGTGTCCCAGTTCACTGCTAGTTGCCTACATTTGTGGTCCAAACACCTTATTTTGTGTTTTTAAGTGATTTTTTTCTTATTCAGTGAGAGAAATCTAGTCTCTGCTGGGCTTTAACGAGTGCATCAAAGTCAGGTTGAATGTCTGAGGTGGAGAAGCGAAGCACAGCTGACAAATGATCATCAGTGAGAGAGGATCTATACCTGGATTTTGTAAACTTCATCATTGAAAATGTTTGTTCACAAATGTAGGTAGAGCCGAAGAGAACCAACATCTTCTGAGCATGTCTCCTCAGGTTTGGAAAGTCCTCCTTAAGAGAAGAGTAGAAATCCAGCAGAGATCCTGAATCTCTGCTTTCAAGTCCCAAACCCTCTTCAGCACTTTCCCCAGGCTGAGCCAGCTGACAGCTGTGTGGAGTCCTCCAAAAGAGCCACAAACTGTCTGTGATCCATCGCCCGCGCCCTGATGAAGTTTATTATTTTAGTAACAACATCAGTAACATGGTTGATTTTTAGCACTGACTTGCACAACACATGTTGGTGTATAATTCAATGCAAAAACACCTATTTTTGATCTGCATCGATTTCTGTCACTTTATCTTGCATGCGTTTCAAAAGTCCGACATTTTTCCATGTAAAGCCGGACGTACACTGTGCGACTTTTTCACTTTTTTGAGCCGATTTTCCAGTCGTGCGAGAAGCCACGACATCGGGGCGAGTTTTGCGCCGAGCGGTCGTGTAGTGTACAGGGGGTTACGAGAGGCGATTAACACCACGTGACCAGCTGCCGATCAGCAGTCGTGAGGTCGCAGGGACTTCTGGTGTGTTTAATATTTCGCTCGTCCCTCGTGAGGGTATCGCAGTGTTGAAGCGGCGCTGCGAGCAGCTGCGAGCAGCTACGATCCAAAAAGCATCAGAACCGCTCACGGCGCATGCGCGCGCAATCCTGCATCAACGCCGGCCGGTCGCTCGCTATTTCCCTAATAACACACGCTGTTCGTTTTTGTTTCTACACGTTTTTTTTACTCAAAGATTGTCAAGAAAGCGTGTTTGTCGTGTTCATGTCAAATTAAACTGATCACAAAACACAGATTCACTTTCTTTATTTCGTTTTCCTCATCCAACCCCCATAAATCCCTGTGTGTCCTCCTGCAGCACTCCCGAAGGACAACAGGCAAGACAAGACAAAAAACTCTGACGTGTTGAGTAAAAACTGCTATTTTTAGCACATTTTTAGGGCCGACGTGTTGCTACCAGACGTACAGTGTGAGCAGTCAGGTCGCATGCGAGAACTGGGTCGTGCAGTGTGAGCACATGACTCGTGAGATTTGCTCTGCGAGGAAGTCGTACAGTTTGAGCTGAAGCTGAACGCTGCGAGTGAAAAAGTCGCACAGTGTACGCCCGGCTTAAGCCCGGCTTAAGATTTGGACAACCGTCTGTTGTGACACCTGACAGTCTCTCCCATTTCAATCCCAGAGTGTCCGTGCACGCATTTACCTCTGTAAAAAGATCACTCCCTGTCGTTGTCCCTTTCATCCACCGCATTGCTGCCCGCTCCTCTGTGAGCTTGAAGTCCGTTATCCCCGGACAAATACGAGCAGCTGGGCTGTGTCGCGGACATCACAGCTCCCGTCTAATGAGAAAAAGTCACAACTTGCCACTTCACGTTGCAGCTGAAGCTCCAGGTTCCCCGCAATGTCCTCGATCCTCCTGGTCACGGTTCGCCTGGACAGCGGGATTTGCTCAAATGCGCCTTTTTTTTCAGGGAATATTAGTGCGGCAGAGTCCACCATGCACTCTTTGACAAACTCTCCCTCCGAAAACGGCTTTCTGTTTTTAGCTATTTTGTGGGATATCATAAAGCTGGTCCTGGCTGCTGCATCCCTGGATGTGTGAAGCTTAGTAAAACAGCCTTGCTGCTTTTGCAACTTTGCAAGCAAAGCTTCGGATGTCCGTGCCCTCTCAGCTCTCAGCATCAGACAAGTTCTTGTATTTTTCCGAGTGTTTCTTGTCGTAATGCCGACTAAAATTGTAGTCCTTAAACACGGCAATCTCCTCCCCGCAAACCAAACACACGGCTTTACCTCCGACTTCAGTAAAAAAAATACTTAGCAGTCCAATTTTTGTTGAAAATCCTGCATTCGGCATCTTTCTTTTTTTTTTTTTTTTTTGCATGAGCGGACATTTCTCAGGCTACAATCACCATGTCAACCGCGGGCACTTGTTGCTATACGTATTGCGTCATTGTGCACGTAAAAAACAACTTCAAAATAAAAGCAATGCAGCCTTAGCCCATGCATGAGGTAAAATGAGAAAATACATTTATTTTGTAATTTCCAATTAACCTTACGCGGGCCGGTCAAAGTCAACCAAAGGGCCGGATGTGGCCCGCGGGCCGTAAAATGCCCAGGTCTGGTCTACGACCATCCAGCCGTCAACTCCACCGCGCCGAACTAATCACGTGAAAGACAACGGACAACCTCCTGATTTCCGTAGTGGGCGTGGTCTTGGGGATTGACAGCTGAAGGGAGCGAATGAATGAATGAATGAATGAGGAAAGTTATTTTGGTCTTTTTAAAAAAAGTGACAAAAAATAGAAACAAGTTTATTTTGTACAGTTATTCTAGCAATCCTGGATTATTTGGTACAGATTATTAATATTTAGTGATAAATAAAATGTGTTTTTTTGCATATTTTGCATTTCTTTACAGGAATATGTTTACCAGAAGAGAACTGAATGTAAAACATGATATTTTTCAATTTTCTCCTTTTAAATTGTGTTAAACATGCTGTAAATACAACAAAGCATTAAAACAATAAACAAACAATAAAAGAACTTGTAAATTCCCAGAAGGACTCAAATATTTTCTGTTTCTTGGTTTTGAAAGAAAATTCGTTTTTATTTTATTTCAGCAACAAAAAAATCTGCTCACAAATCTTAGCTGTAATTTAAGAATTATGTTTTTAACCCTGATTCAGGCTCAACTTTTGTACATTTCTTTATTTTGATGATACTTCCCCATATTATGCAGTGAAAATCAACCCTAACGCTAATTGTGACTGAGTCAAGGAAGTTATTCATGAAATAAAAGTTCAATATTTTTTAAGTGGGCCACTAAAATCAAACTAAACTGATGTGTTCTCCAAACGATTTAAAACAGCCCCTGATGTTAGAAAAACTAAAGGAAAACAAATTACACTCACCCTGTCCAACTTTTACCTGTCCTCTATGACGTTTCCATTACAACACACAAGATTCCCATGGCAACAAAGGGATATAACCACAACCCAGACACTAACCACAACCCAGAGGGCGGATTCGTCAGACTTTACCTACCTGTGAACCCCGAGGAAGAGTTCATGGGGGGTGGACCATCAGATCCGTGGCGCCCAGAATGGACAGAGCCTCAAAGAGACATTCGTTATTTTTTAAATGAATATATTGTATATCATATTTCTATTTCACCTGTTCCTTTGTCTCTCCGACTGCTTTGAGCACGTACATGACACAAGAATTTCCCTCGGGATAAATAAAGTTGTTCTTATTCTTATTCTTATATAAGGTGTCCTGATGCTGTCTTCCTCCTTTTGGGTTAGGGTTTTCCCAGGAAAACTGTTGAAAACGTGGACGGGTGATTTCCCAAAACTGTGGAGGACATGTGAGGACTTGTTGCCCTCAAGGGAGGATTTATAACTCAGTAAAGCACAAATGTTGGATTTTCCATTCAGGAAACAAGAATTACGACAGTTGCTTTTTAAAATTATGCCACTAAATAACTGAGAAACAAATAAAAGTCAGGAAATCCGGTAAATGACTGTTTAACTGGAAATGTGAGTTTCTTCCTTTGAAATGTGAAGAATTCTTATTTCCGTGAACCAACGCCCGTTTGGCTCTTTGCATGTCCACAATGTCTTCCTGGTGAGGTAATCTGACCCTCCACATGCAGAGGTCCCAGGAGTGGTGAACTTTAATCTGGAACTCCGCCTTTTTTGAAATGGTTAGTTTGACTTGTGCATGTGAGCGTTTGACGCCGATACCTAAATAAAGACAGCAGCCGATTGGAGATCTTCAGGAAACTCACACAACCTTCAACATACACTTGCCTTGACGGCAGTCGATAATGGGAAGATCCATTCTTCCAAAGTGGTGATGACAGAGCATTCTCCCGAGAGCACAGCATTATCTTCTGGCAGATACAAGTGAACGTTGGCGTTAATGGAGCACGGACTAGGGAAGATGCTGGAGCATGCAAATGTGCACAGCTGATAATAAACAGGGGAAATGGCTGGTGTTGCTTTAAAACACAGTTCAGTTTCTACTTGTGTTCTTCTGGAATGATCTAATAATCATCCTCTTATCTTATTTAATTGTGAGATTTCAGCCACCCACGGAAGAGCTGTAAGGGTGTGTGTTTGTGCATTTAGATAAGTTGATTAAAGTCCAGAGTTTTAGTCCTTTCTGTCCACTAACTGATTTAACTGGCTGGCCCAGAACTGACACTATTTTATAGATGCTATAATGCAGGATTTGCGACTGAGGAGTTATTTGACCAGGAGTAAAAAC